AAATTCTGACTCATTTACTTAAAATTAGTTTTTTTGACAAAAATATCCTTGCAATATTATTCATACAACTAGTCTTACTCATTATATATATATTAATAATTTACGATAAAATATTCTTGCGATATTGTTTGTTCGACTTCTTGTTTCTCAAATCAACCTAAATTCTACTTGAAAATTAGTTTTTTTTGACAAAATATCTTTTTGATATTATTCATATAAGATAAAATTCAGTTTTTAGTTAAAATTTTAGCTAGTTGTGGTTGAATTTAATAATATTTCTTTTATTTCTTTATTTTTTTTTTTTTACCAAAAAAACATCTTTAAGCAAAATTTTTATCTAATACGATAAAATTTTAATTTCTTACCTGAATTTGTAATTTGTTTATAAATCAGAAATAAATAAACTTAAATAAACTTTTAATATAATAAAATCAGAAACTTTAAATAAAGTATTATTTGATAGATAATACATGCAACAAACAATATATAAATCATCCTTATACTGTAAAATAATATTAAGAATATAAAATAATACAAATATAAAGATTATTCTTATAAATTGCTCTATTTTTAACTTTTTTCTCTTTTTTTTTTCTCTTTCAAATACATTATCAAAATGAGTAAAAAAAGGTCAATCGCTAGCATACTTGATGATGATGAAAATGACTCAAGTCAATCTTTTACTATGGCTTCTTATAGAAGAAACAGATCGATTACTAACTTAATTGATGAAGAAATATCTTCTACTTCTAGAATATCATCATCGCATAATGTAATAACAAGATATCAATATTCACAAAGCTCAATTTCAGATGCATTTCATCAACTCGAAATTCAGGAAGAAATGGGAGAGTCTTCAACAACATCAGCTAGATGAATTATTAAACATAAATCAGAAGATGATAAATATCAGAAGGATTTTGATTCTACATTTGTATCTTGAAGATGTGTAAATATGTACAAAAATCGACCAAAACCTAACAGATGACAATTTTGAATAAAGTGTTAATGAGCCTTCCGAATCTTCTGAATATACCACTGAAGAAAACAATATTTCAAGTAGTAGTAGTAATAGAAATGAATCAGATAATGGAGAATTAGGTGATGATAAAAGATTATGAAACATTTGAGAATTATGCATCACACAATTATGAGTAATTTTAAGACCCATCAGATCTAAGATTAACAATTGATAACTGAATCTTATGAATTTTGCTTTAGATTATGACATTTCAGACAAGATTCAATATAATGGGAACAGCAACTGAGGCTTTGATAAAATTTATGAAATTAGTCTTGACAGAAATCGATGAAGATGATTTTAGAGACTTTCCAGATTCGATGTACTTAACAAGGAAAGAACTTGGATTAAAAATCATTTTCATAGCTTTGTTTCTTATCCGAAATGTTATAAGTTATATAAAAAACAGGAAGTGATAAATTTTAGACAAGAAGATTCACTTGCTATAATAAAGTGCTGACATGTAGAATTTCCTAATTCATCACTCTATAAATCACGACTTTGCAATACAACTATATCTTAAACCATCGGTGTTTCAGCAAATTGAGCAGTAATCAACCTAATTTAATATTTTCATTTTCTGAAATCAGACAATAATTCATTTTGATATATCATCGGTCTTGTTTTGAAAGTTGTTTGAGACAATAGGCAAATCGTCAACATTATGATAATATTAGGACTAATATATATGATGGTCAAGTATAGCAGATATTAAAAGAATCTTCTGAAAAAAATTCGCAAAATTTTTTTAGAAATGAAGTGGCTGATTCTCACCTTGGATCAATGTTGAACTTGGATTGGTTCCAGCTTTATAAAGACACTATATATAGTATTGGTGTTATTTATGCTGCTATATGCAATTTGTCACGTGACATCTAATTCAAATGTGAAAACCTACTGACTCTTGGCCTCTTACCTGGGCCAAGTGAAGTAAGTTTGTACAAAATAAATCATTATTTAGCATTGATCGTTGATGAATTGAAATCTCTTTAGAATGGAATAACTATAGATAAAACATACGAATTTCAAGAAGGAAGAATCATTCGTGCAGCTCTAATTCTTGTTTTATGTGATATACCAGCTGCTAAAAAAATATGTAGTTATATTTCAGCCTTAGTATCATGTCATAGGTGTGAGAAGAAAGCAAATTATGAAAATTGGCAGCATAATTTTACTGGTATAGATGATTTTGATGATTGATTCTTCATGCGAGATCTAACTGAACATTGTTAGAATGCTTTAGAATGGAGATATTGCAATTCTGATGCTTCACAAAAGTGATTTGTAAAACAAACTGGTGTAAGATAGTCTGAATTATTGTGATTACCATATTTTGACACTATTAGATTTATTATAATCGACCTAATACATTGCTTATTTTTAGAAATTCACGATAGATAGTAAAATAAATTTGGATTGATAGTGAATTTTAACATCAAATGCCCTGAAAAAATTCAGAAAAAAATGAATAAGTTTCAGATTCCATCTGATTTGGATCGAATTTGGGTAAAATTCATGAAGAAGAAGGATTTTTTAATTTCACAGCCAATCAATGGTGAATATTTTTTACTGTTTATGCCACTGTATCACTTTAGGAATATCTTCCAGCTGTAGATAAAAAGATTCTTACACATTTTGTGAGAATTTGCTTAATTTTAGTTAGCTGAATTATAGAATCAGATCTTGTTTTAGAAGCTTATCGAAGATTAATTGAAATAGTAAAGCTGATAAAAGTTAATCATAGTTATAATAAAATTACGCTAAACATTTATTTATCTCTTTATTTATATGATTGCTCATTTGATTATGGGTTATTATATGCATTCTGGTGTTTTTCTTTCGAATGCATGAATGGAGTATTAAGTAATTCATCATTATGAAAATTTTCTGTTGAATATATTTATTAATTTTTAAATTTATAATTTTTAGGCTCTTTACCAAATAGCAATAGAAAAATTGAACCTGAACTTATGCGTCGATTGATATTCAATGATCAAATTGATAATATTATAAATTCTGGTGTTGAGATAAAAGGGCTTGAATTTTTAGACAATCAGTCTTCTATTAGCTCTCTTTCAGTTACTGACCAATTTTCATCAAATGAAATATACCGATTTTAGATGAATTTCTAAAATATTAAAGAATCGCGTATTTTTGGTAGTGAAAATTTTTTAGGAAAATTTCTTAAGCCATTATCTGATAATATAATCATTTTAAATAAAATGCTGAATTTAATTAAATACTATTTAGCAACTTATGAAAATCTCGAATTTCAAAAACCATTCAGTGATGATTCAGAAAATGCTATAATAATTTGGTTCAAAATGAATCAATTTAGAAAATGTTAAATCAGTTTTAAAATCTTCAGTTCATTAATATTCTTATGACATGAGAAAAGTTCATACATTTTAGCCAAATTTATTACGAATGATGATGTTATTGATTGTTATTCAGGTTAAGTTCAATATTATTTTACTCATACAGTCGATTTACCATATGGATTGATTGAATATTTTTTAGCATATGTTCGTTGCTATTAACCTGCAGGTTCTCCAAATGTTCGATATCATTTTAACGTTGAAGAAACATATAATATTGAACTATGGGATACTGATTTTTACCCTGAAAGTCGTGATTGCATAATACCAGTACATCATATTTTAGGACGTTTTATACCAGTGAACTATATGATTTCAACTTGGCAAAATGTAAAAGAATATTTGGCTATCAATCTGATTAATAGAAAATACCAATTATGAAATTATAACATCTTATTTCCTTCTGAATTGTTATTTTTGACATAAAATAATCTATTAAAATTGCTTTCTGAATTGTCATTTTTCACATAATTTTTGAAAGTTTTATTAGCTTAAAAAATCCTTTCGAATTGTTATTTTCAACATAAAATAATCTATTAAAATTGCTTTCTGATTTTATAAATATACAAATCATCCATAAATCAGATAGGTTAATTTAGGTTGATTTTTGGCTATTTGATGATTATGTCTGATTGACAGATGATTGATAGACGATTTATCACATATCTGATTTTTTGATTTCAACTAGTGCAAATTTGATATCAACATTTTTTGATAGCTAGATTTGAGCTAAATCGTGCGAGAGGCTTGAATTCAATAATTGATTTATATATCTAGAATTGATTTGCAGATGATCAAGAAACTTCTTGCATTATTTTAGAATTTTGTCTCAAAACTTCCCTTTTTACCCTACTGCTGTAATGATATATTTCAAGATATCTATTATGTTATTTTAACAAAATAATCTGCTAATTACACAGTTTTCAGCAGGTATTTTTAGCAATTCTGAAGGTTATATAATGAAAATTCTAAAAAAAAACTTGTTAGACTATGTATTATTTGTAAAGTAAAAAGGTTTGAAAAAAGTTTTAAAGATTTATGTTTTTTTTTTTATCATTACATAAAAAGATTATCCAATTGATTACATTACTTTAAACTATATAAAAAGCCATGTTATACAATTTGTGTAATGGTTAATTATACAAATGTTCACTATGTTTCTGCATTAAGTATAACTCCTTACCTTAAATCTAAAGGAAGTGTGATAAATATGATTTTATGCCTAAAATAATTCTCTGTCTCTCAAATAAATAGTAAAAATGAATCAAGGCAGAGTATGATGAGCATGATAAATAATTGCATATTACATGATTAAGAAATTTTTGTCAGTATTCACTGGGGTAGTTGATCCCATTTTTCTGATTGGCTGGTATAATTGATATTAGTTAGAGTTAGGGTTCAAGGTGATTTATCACAGTATCTGAGGGACAGAGAATTTTTTTGGGTTGTGATGTTTATTTGTCATCCCCATGGATAACGTGACAATTAACATATTTTATTCATGCATACTGCGCCATTTGGATCATTTAGCTATTGAAGTACTATAAAAAGGTGAATGTACGCACAAATTGTACTATCTTTTATTCAATCAACACAAAAAAATGTCTAATAATATCTCCCTTCCGTCAGTCGAAGAAGTTAATAAATGGAGCCCAGATGATGTTATTACTTTTCTGGGGTCTAATAAAAATGAGTTATTTCTCAGGGATCAAGACATTAAAACAATTAAAGATAACTGGCTCCCCGGTTCAGCCTTCCTCGAGTTAAGTCAAGATGAGCTTCAAGGGTGTGGGTTGCAAATAGGACCAGCAAAAGTCATTGCAAAATTAATTAGAGATATTAAGGGCGAAGAGCAAGGTAAGTACCACGCCTTCATTCGAATATTCCAAACCTACCTGTTTTTTTTTTTGCCGCCATTTTAATTATCAACATGAGCTTCATACAATTATTCCAATATAGAATTAACTAACAAGCGCAGGAAAATCGGTCTATGGGATCAAACTGAAAAAGATCTGGGAAAATTTTGGAAATTTTTGGAGAATGCGAAAATTGATAATAATTTCCTTCAGCTATCTGAGGGCGTCTATTTCTTGGGTTTAAAAGAGCGGGGCGCCACCCTATATATCCGTAAATGTTACGACCACTTAGCTAATATTATTGTCTTTAATGAGAATATACATCGTTGTCGTATTACCGGTAATCCCGGAATTGGAAAAACCTTTTTCGGATTATACCTACTTCATTTGCTTTCAAAACAAAATAAACCCATTGTGTACCATCAAGCTTGTCAATATCCAATTCTCTTTAACAAGCAACATACCTTTCGTAGTAATGATATCTCTGACTTTATAGAATACTTGGATAATACAGATGTCTGGTATATTGTAGATGGTCAACCACCACTCCAAGTTCAAGCTAAGACGATTCTTTTATGTTCTCCCCAAAAACAACATTACAAGGAATTTGATAAGATGGTGGGAACAACAATACGATATATGCCGGTATGGTCATGGAACGAGATCAACGAATGCAGGATCGGTATGTTCAATCATCTCGAAGTTGTGAAGGTCGAGGATTTGTACTCACGTTGGGGAGGGATTCCTCGATTCATCCTAGAAAAAGCTCTAGATTCCTCTCAACAAAACCATCTCGAAGATGCAATTAGCAAGAGTAATACGAGGTTATTTGAATTTGTTGGAGAAATTGATCACGTCGATGACGTTAGTCACAGAATCATTCATATTCACACGAATCTACCCGGTGAAGAGGGAGAAAAGAACGAAGGTGAAGATGCTCCCTACATTCAAAAATTTATACTATTTGCGTCTGAATGGGTGGCTGAAAAAGTGATGGACAAACTCGAAAGAAATTACAGTCAACAGTTAAGGAATTTTGTGTCAGCAAGCTCGTCGGAAAATGAATACAGTACGCTTCGAGGCGTCATATTCGAACAGATCGCACATCGAATTTTACAAAAGGGAGGATCATTTAATATTCGTCCTTTAGGAGCCGACCTCACAAGTTCTAAAATTGAAATTCCAGAACGGATTAAGTTAGTGTTCAATGACATTAATAAGATCGAGGAGGGTAAATACTGTCAACCGATTCAAAAGAATTTTACATCCATTGATGCAGTTGTTGCACCCCACACACTCTTTTCAGATGACCGTGAGCAAGAATCATCCTATTAATATGAGTGGCATGAAAAAGCTTGTTGATAAATTGGGCGGAAAGTCGGGAACAAATCGTATATATTTTTATTTTGTCTTACCGAATGATTTATACGATAATTACCAAGCACAGCACTTTCATACTACCGGCAAAACTGTTGCAAAGAAGATACCACGTTGGATTAATAATCGTGTTAAGCAATACGCATTGGAAATTGACTTGAGTTCCCGATGATAAGTTTACCGTATGAGTTAGATTATGTTAATTTATCATGTATTACAAATTTGTGTGATTTTTATTACTGCAAGATTTAATAAAGAAATATCTATATTGCGCGAAAATCATTTGTGAGGCAATGGGATGGATTTGTATTAATCCGTTAATCAGATTTGTCTTTCAGCTGAAAAATTCAGTGATCTCGAGTTCATTACTAATCATTATGGGGACTAAAGATGGATAAATTCTTTGAACTTTATTATTACAATTCGTAATTAGGGTCTATAATTAGAAACAATTATGCAGGAGTTTCCTTACATGATCGCAAAAGTTCTGAATTCATTTCTTGGACTGCGGGTATTGCTACAAAACGTGTAAAATGAGGTATGTTTCACTCGTTAGTCCTTGAATTCGCTTTCGCTTTGCGCAGTAAACGAAAAATCAAAACCCAATCAATATTATGTATGCTTAATAACGCATTAGCCTATTATTTGTCACCTGATTTGAGCAGTATCTCAATATATACGTTGCGATCTCTGTTTGTGTTTATCTTTTTAATAATTCTTTCTATCTCGCTGATTTCGACCTTTGGCCACCCGGAGGGTCTGTAAACTCTTCATGATTATTATGCGATATTGTGCTTACATATCATCCATAATTAGTCCGGAGCGAAGCGTAGTATTATATATGTTTCTGCGCTTGGTGTCCCGAAGCATAACTTTTTTTTTTTGCATTTTTAAATTCGATGCGGTAATATGTACAAGAATTCTTGTCTTAGTAAAAGATACTAAATCTGAATAATTCTTTTAAATTAAACTAAGTTCTACCGGGCAAAAATTTGATGACTCCATTAAGCTAAAATTTCACCATCACCAAAAAGTGAGTAGTAATTAAAGCAATGAGTATTCCATATATCCTTTGATCCCAACTATAAAATAATACCTTCAAAAGAAGGGAAATAGGTACAGTCGCGTCACAAAATAACGCCCGATCAAAATTTTATGTCATTCTATAGCTAATCAAATGTACTTTCAAAAAGATAAACCAAAAGGCGTCCTAGACTTAAGATGCACAAGCAACTTTATTGAAAAATTTTTACATACATTTTTTCTGCAAATACTGTATATCGTTTTTGAGGACTTTTTTGATTCACCAAATCGTGTAACTTTTTTGATTTGATCATTGTACTTTTTTGATTCAATAAAAACGTGATTCGATAATTATTAATGATTATTTAAATATTGATCTAGTTATCGAAGAAAAGAAAACATTACCAATTATTTTTCCTGATTGGGCTCGATACACAATATTCTTAATAAAGCAATGATCATTTTTTAATATTTCATTTTGATTTTATTTATGTTACTGTCCCATCAAGTCCTCGAGTCGACGATCGTCAAAACACTTGCAAGAAAATACTCTTATGGAATGATCTGCTCGTATTAGGCAAATACTTTTGCTTCATAGTATGAGTAATCCTACTGAGAATCTACTAAGAATCCTAAGAGAGTAATGCCCACCCTTTATCCCCCCGTATGCATGTCCTTTATATAGAAGATTTTGTATTTGAGATGTTCATATGATTATCTTTTTCATATAACATTTATTAAAATCTTTTTTGCTTATAGATTTTGCAGATAAAGAGAATTTGTTGATATCATTTTAATTATAAGTTGCGAAAAAAAAAGTATTTTTTGTTAAATCTTTCATTTTACTCCTTTGAAACATTAACATTAATTTTTTTAAAAACCAATATTTTTTTTTTTAAATTATTTTTTTTGTTTAAAATGTCTTTAAAATCAATTACTTTTTGCTATATTCACAACTCTCGAAAAAGACAAACTGTCAGCTATACCATTAAAAAAATCACTGGTATCATTAGGCTTGACATAATTGACTCTAATAAGATAGCATTCCTGCGGATCAAAGCTTTCATTCCAACCGATCAAACAGCTTAAACAGAAATTAAACCTTATGAGATTAGTGACGTAATTTGTTTAAAAGAAAAGTTCATGTCTTGTACTCTGTGAGTAATACAAAGAGAATAAAGATAGAGTTATTTATATTATTTATAATTAACATTATTTTTTTTGTCACAAATTAATGTTACCTTCATAAAAACACTCAAATTAGAATATGACGATATTCCAACGATAGATTTCAATGTTGTTGATTTTAGATTCCATAATGCAAACTGTCAAAAATATAAATGGATTTTCATTCTTGAATTTAAAATTGAAGAAAGGTTAGGTGATAAGGAACTAAACAAATACATGCTGAAAGTCAGGTACAATCCAGATAACACTTATCTCGTCAATAAAACCAATGCCATAAATCAGATGATAAGATCTACCACTGCATTTTTGATTGGTATAATTGATTACGAATCTTTTTCTAATATTTCAAGATTTTATATAATTGTGAATGGAATTTTATGAATTACTGCCTATATGAGGTAATTTACCATATTATTATATATGTAATTTAAGCTTGAAATGAAGTTATCTATCAAAATAATAATTTAAAAATAAAAACCATCATCATTTTTAGAAAAAAAAGCTATAATATAAAGAATATTTGATAGTTAGATAAATATGGTACAATACAAGTGCATTATTGCCAATATTATGCATTTGATAATTTTTTACTATATTTATTCAAATAGGATAATTAATAAATGATTACTATTTATTCTTAATATTGTTGTGAAATCACTTAAGTTCTTCATAATAAAAATATTATTAAATCAACAAATTATTATAAAGACAAAAATCCTCTTTATTTTCCATTATTTCAGAAAAAACCATAATTATCTGAATTTGAAAAGAAAGGTTTTAATGGATTCAAAATTGATATCTAACAAAAAATTAAATTATTGGACATTTGTTTGGATATATGGTATATTTGGCTTTTTCTATAGGTTTTTTAAATATAACTGTTATTAATTTATTTCTTATCTTATAACAGGTATAAATGTTAAAAATTATAACAATATTAATATTGAAATTGTGATGATATCCAAATCACTGAAAACCTTAATGTTGTTGATATTGATTCTGATATTTGATCTTGGTATTTTCCGTCTAAAGGGATGTGGTTGGATTGATATTAATCTCTATAATCCGTTTTTTTTTTATTCCTGGATGTATATATATATTTATTTTTTTATAAGATACTTGAAAAGAGCTCAGGCTCATTTACGGCTTCGTATTCAAACCTTATTAATGAATATCATAAGAAAATTGCCTTGTGGTTTCTTGATGTTATTATTATACCCCTTTTAATGGATCTGCTATGTCTCACCGTCTTAATAGAAAAATCAATTCAAAAACCGTTCGTAAGATGCTTACCTGGGCTTACAGTCAATTTCGTAATCGTCTTGTTTTCAAGGTTGAGGAATTAGGTAAAAAGGTCATCATTCAAAATGAAGTAAAACTTGCAGGTTGTTTATTTTCTTTTCACAAATGATTTGACTTAAAAGATTAAAAGCGAACAGGAATTTTGCAGATATTCCAAGCGGAAATTGAAGAACAAAAAGAAATTTAAGTCTTCAATTACTACAAATGAAAAGATACTTCAACTCGAGAAAATGAAATATTAATAACGAATAATTCATTCCTTGATTAATTATTTTTACGATTACTTTTACATTTCAACTTAATGTATAAATTATATTAAGTTAAAAATATACGAATTCAACATAAAGAAGTCCGAGTTGAACAAACTGATTAATATATTTTATATACAGTAGTTAAAAATGTTCTTGTTCATATTTACTTAAATAAACGTATTTCTATATTAAATTTTCGTATTTATAATTCATTATTTCATACTTGTTAAAATCGATAAAATCTATCAGTTTATACCAAATACTGGTAGGATATTTCTCGTTTCATTTCACCTTAAATACGATGAGTTTGCAACCTTTTGTAATAGAAGGGGGAAACTGCAAAGAAAAAGTCAAATTTACTTTTAAAATAAAAATGGTTTTCAGGCCTAGATAAGTTCGGACATGGCAATTAATACATTCCCCCTTTCTGTAGCAAAGGTCCCAAGATGATTCGGCTTTCTAGATTCCTAACGACAAAATTTTGCTACTTCATTATTTAATGTCATGATTTTAAAGTTCTTCAGTTAAGAACGCCTGTAAGTATTCAATTCATACACCGTTGATTTAAAGCCTCTATATCTTCTATGCATATGGTGGGCAAGCAAGATTCCGACTTTATCATCGTAAAGTGATAGAATAAAGCATAGTATATTAACCAAATTTCTTTCAATACAGAAGAAACGCGGAATAGTCACCCAATTAACCGATGTAGTTTTTCCTAAAAAAAGTTGATGATTGATAAATAAAATTTCCGGTATTTTCACTCTTTCCATAAGAGGTAACGTGAGAAACTGATTACGAACTTTATTATGTGTTACCATCTTAAATGAGTTTTGTTTATTATTTTGATTTGTAATCAATATATTTGGTTACATCTAATTAAAAAAATTTTCACTCGAGAATCAGGGACATTATAGTTAAATGAATGTGATAAAAAAAAAAAATTTTTTTTTTTTTCAATCTCCCTAAATGAAACGGAAGTAATCGAAATTACCCAATGGTTTGGGGACGAGTAACAGAAGGATAACCCGAGAGCATTCGTACGATTACCTTTTTCAAAATCGAAACCCGAATAAAAAAAATTATATAATATAAAATTTTTGGACACAAATAAATGAACAAATTGGTTATTTTCATTGATAAATATTATTACTATTATTTCGATTTTGGGAAACTGGCAAATCATCTTCAAAGCCGAGATTGAAAAAAACCGAGAGACTTGGTCAAGAATCAATAGAAAAAAAAAAATATCCAACAGTTTTGTTTATAATGTGGCGCTTTTAGAAAGAACATCATCATCTCCAAGAGCATGATAGGAGGACATCCCATTCATCATCGATTATCTATCTCTCAAGTTGGGAAGCGATAAAAATGATAAAAATGGGAACAAAGATGAACAAAATCAACGTGTGTGCGTGTACATAACCCTTGTATTATTTACTTCACTTGTATCTTAGAATCTTCTCTTCGGCAATCGCATTGATATTACCGATGCATCCAAACTTCTCCTACACGCATTGTAAAAGGTCAAAGGTCACACTATCAAACTCCTAATACCTACAATTCTACGGACTCTACGGACGCACTAAATAGGTTAAATAATGAGCTCTATAGTATCTTTATAGCAAGACAAAGTTAAATACCGATAACATTTATGTGTAATTATATCATGCACACTTTACCTTAAAGTCTTGATAGAAACTTTCTTTGTCGTCTTGAAATGTAATATATCCATAGGATACTATATCACGTGTAACAAATCAAACATGCAAGAATGATAAGTGTGTAACGTTGAAATTAATTAGACAATTGTTCTTTGCCTTAGAACAATCATTGTTGTATGCAAGATCAAATTAATTTCGGTTCCGAAGATCGGTAATTTAGAAGAATTCCCTCAGAAAATAAATGTGACTTACCATAACTTTACTTGAAAACATCATCAACTTTACCTTGAAGCAAAATTATGGTAAATCACATCACACACGAAATACGGTTTTTTTTTTTTTTTTACATGCATTTGACTTCATTAGTATTATGGAACTTCTTCATTTGATTGACGCCAGAATTATCCACAATGTAATTATATATTATTTACGGAAATGAGAAATTGTTTCATGTGAGATGGATTTCTGCGCCTAAATTTTCATTGATCAACAAAAAAAATGATTTACCGCAATTTAACTCTAAAGAATGAACCATTGATAACATTGATAACAATAAACGTTAATATTGTTCGGAGTTTATAAAAAAAATAATTTCCTAATCTGTTCTGATTCAAGTTGTGATTGGATCATGCCAAGTTTAAGTACGTCACTACAGCCGAATCATAATAAACCAAAACAATGGATAAATAAATGAATTTGTCATTAATAAATATTGTTCACATTTTAAAAACGAATCATTATGAATGAATTGACAAATACGTTCGTTTTTTAATTTTATTCGCAAAGAATTTTTAATTTGCATCAATAAGGTTTATAAATGTGCAAAAAAATAAAAATAACCACGGAGATACATTCAAATTATAATAATTAAGTAGTACTTACAATAAAAATAATGGTATGTCCAAATTTTATTTTTATTTTTATTTATTATTATTTTTTTTTTAAATCAACAAAGCACAAAAAAAAATAAGAGAGTAGATGAATAAATAATTGCTCTTTTTTGTCCCATCTTTGGATTGCACCACACACATTGAAAAGGATCGAAACTCTTCCAATTCGTTCCAAGGGTCATTAAACGACGCAAATAACTTAAATGTTGTCTTGTTTTCCTTAATCAACATATTCTTTCTCTTGATGCAAATCAAAAACTTGATTGAAAAATAAGAGTCAGAATGAAGACAATTGATAATGCTCAATTGATGATGAAACGTTTTGGTAGAAGTTTCCAATTAAATTTTAAGAATTACGCCTCACCTTATAAACATATGTGTGATAACGTAATGAAATCCAATAATGAAAATCAGGTTTCCACATGGAATCTCTACCCATAAAACTTACATTTCAAAATGTTGATCACCATCCATAACGACCCAGTGAAAACATTTTATGACAATGTCATTCTTTAAAAACTTACTGAATTCAACTTCAAACAACCGCATAATAAATTGACTTATTACAATGTCGAATAAGTTCAATTGAAACGGATTGAATCAGTAAAAGTTTTCGTGTAAAACAAAACAATGGGTGCCGCATACTTACTTTACTTGGCGGATTTATGCAGGGTTTGAAGAATCAAAGGAGACTTTTCGTACGAATATTCGAATTAAGTCAATGGAACTTTTTTTGGTCATATTTTGTTTGATACAAACTTTACGTCGAATGGTTCGTTATATGTAACGCGCATTCCCTTCTGTCTTGTAAAAGAGAAACAAACCTTATGATAAAGTTTAATCTTTCGCTCAAATGAGGTTTGTGAAATAAGATACAACAGATCAGAGATGATTGTTCGTTATCAATACAATACGAAATAATAACCCCTATTTAATAAATAAAATAACCATCAAGGAAGTGACCTTTTAAGAGGAATAATATGATTTTTACATTGTTAATTACCACTCTGCAACACAAACCATTTGTGACGCGTTTGATCAAATCGAATAAGAAGTTCTTGCTTGATAAAGGAACGATCGATAGTCAGATGCTTGATAAATGTTTGATAATCGCTTACTCCCTTCGCTTCACGGTTAACATAAAAGTCGAAATTAACGATCACGTGAATCGCGTAGCATCGATAACTTTACCCAAGTGTGACAAGCAAGGACAAATCGATTGTTTAATTTAGCCATTCCCTAATATTGTATGCAATAATTAAATGAAAAAAACGCGCGCTTTCTTTAGAAAAGGGGAATCCGTACGGACGGTATGGTCTTCATCTGCAAGTTTTAACCCCATATTAGTATAAATTCGGTTCTGATGCGGATAATTCCCCGGAGGACAATGATAAAAAAACAAAAGCACAAATAATTTTCATATTAATTATCCATGGATGTAAAGTTTAAAGTGAGATTGACAATATAAAATTGATCTTTACTTTAAGGGAAAGTGTATATCTTAAAATTTCTATCAAGGTAAAATTATGCACATAATATTTGTACGAATGTGATATATCAGGAGTGCCTTTTGTTGTGCAGAAAAATGTACAGTGTAACGCGCGTGTTATTTATGAAAGTTGAATTTCGAATTTTGGATTCTTCTTTTATTATTTTGGGTTTAGATGATCTTCATTAGGGTTTTGTTGATTTAGATTTTTTTTAAAAAATATCTGGGTTCCATTAGATTTGAAATGCCAATCAATTTTATTATTCAGAAGTGAGAAATGATTATTTCTGGTTAACGGGTGTAATGGTGAAATCAACAATTACTTCATAGAAAGAAAGATTGTGAAATGATTAGCAACTTAGATATCAGCTAACTTTTAATCTTTTCCGTGTCACGTAAATTTGGGGACCGTGTGCGATATACCGAACTCCGGCCAATATGGTCACTTTCTCCTATCCATTCGTTGATACAAAAAATATATTGGCTTCTCAAAGACAAAGCGAAAACAATATTTACAAAACATGTTCAACCACATAAACATTGTATATACGAGCAGAGACGCTCGTCAAGTGAAAATAAAAAAAATTTTTTTTTGAAGAAATCAAATCCTTTTTTTTTTATGTTTGCCTTAATAAATTATCGTAAAATGGTTTAGATTTCGAACGGCGAAACCCATGAATTTTTTTGATTGATCCGAAACAAGAAAAAAAATATCATTATTTCAAATCTTGGGTTTGTTGTATGCATTGAATGAATTTGTTGTATGTTACAATATGTTTTTGTATTATTTGTATTGTATTCCTTTATGTTAATTCCAGATTTCCAATCACCCGGTATGAGCGAAACGACATTTCAATGTTCTCATCCTTTTAATCAAGAAGTAATTATTGTTTTGTTAAAATCGATTTTATTAAAATGCATAAGAACATTAGCAAAGAATTTTTAGGTGTTTCATAATTTTTTTTTTTTTTGTATTCTCATCAAGAAATGAAGAATGATAACATTGAGGGTTTATTTGTTTGATACACAAAAAAAATTTTTTTAAGGGATCCTATACTATTACATAAAAATTGCTTGAGTAAGGTAGTATAGAAACAAAACAAGTAATACTCCTTAGATAAAAGTAGATAGATTTAAAACTTTAAAAATACTTATTAAAAAAAAAACCTGTATTCTCTCCAAAAAGGAATATTACATCTTTGATATTATTCGTAATTCTCATTTTTCATTTTTTTTTTGTTTGTGTTATTTTTGGAATAATGATTTGATAAAGGGGAAGGGAAAGATGCATTTTTCTTATAGATCGGATTGTTCTGATCTACAAAACACATATATGTTCTGTAACTCATTATTACATCTGGGCGAATGGTTGAATTTGTCATACCAACCTTTTCATAGTATTGATTATCGTGATATTACAAGTTTTTTTTTTTATCTTTGGTGATGTCTTAATTAATATTGTCTTATTTATTTTACCTTTTTACCATAACAAGAAATTTTGAGATGTCGATCACTAAGCATTAAACAATAGTAATTGAACATAAATTGAACAATACATATTAGACTAGCACAAAAGGATCCCATAGAAACGAAATGTAAATATATTGTCGATCTTAGATGAATTCGTTGGTAATTATCAAAGAATTCTTCATATTGGGAATAATAATAAGAATAAAAAAAAAAAGAATAAAAAGACCAAATTATCTACCTTAGTTTAAACAAAAAATTACCCCTTTCAATTTTTTTATAACGAAAAGTTCTTGGATACGTTTTACTTTACACGGTTAATTATTTTTTATTTTTCTGGCAAAAATTTAAAATATTAAATTTGTGAAAGTATATTTTAAAAAATTTTAAAATTGTAAATTTTTGTATAAATACATTAACGAAAAAAACCAAACTCCAAAAAAAAAAAAACTCACGTTTAAAACATTTGTAAAAAATAAAAAAACTTTTTTTTTGATAAAAAAATCACGATTCATAACATATCATTTAAAAACATGTCTTATACTTCAGTACCACAATTCACACAACCGATCTCAAAAAGTTCCTCAATAGGCATTATTGGTGCAGGACCTGCTGGCATATCAATAGCTTATAACCTACGAAAAGAGGGATATAAAAACATCACGATACTCGAGTCCTCATCCCACATTGCAGGCAAATCATCAACCTTCTTTCATGAAAATAAAGGTTATGATGTTGGAGCATTAATGGTCGGTCATAATTACACAAACATAAAAGCTCTCGCTGCCGAACTTGATTGCCCTCTCGAAACATTTACCGGCCGTGCACTTGATATCGACAATAATACCTATTACGTAGATAACACGGATAAGATTGGGATCTACCCAAAGTTGCTCCCACATCTTAACCATTTCTTGGAACAGAAACAATCATTTTTGGATGTTTCTCGACCTGGTCATGGTCAATTAAGCGAAAGTGAATTATATGCTCCCATCACCCAGTTTTTAAAGGATCGTGACATGTCATATTTAATGGACGCGTGGAGTTTGGCTTACACCAGTGCTGGCTACGGGTATATACAGGATGATATCCCTGCTGCCTATTTTTTAAAATTTATTGAAAATAGTGAAAATACGATCTCGTATTTTAAAAACGGTTTCCAAGACTTTTGGGCAAAGATGTCTGAGGTATTTTATCGGATTTTTATTTTATTTTTGAAAACGATTACTTTTTTTGCTGCGCCACCTAACTTTTTTTTTTTATTTACTGTATTTTTTTAAAGAATCTCAATGTGGTTTGCAATGCCAAAGTAATATCCATTGATCGTTCTTTAAAACGTCAGAATATCGGCCCAATACTCGTTACTATTCAAATGAGCGACTTCAACCAAACGCTCGCTTTTGACAACATCATCATTGCGACAAACCCCCGCCAAACCGAACAATTCCTTTCCGCACCAACTCCTTTGGAAAAAAACATATTTTCCAAAATCATCACGTTCGACTTTTACACCATCATTGCCACCGTGAAAAACCTACCCACTAAAGTGGGTATGACGACCATACCAAAGTATTGTTCGGATAAACGTTATGTTGGTCACATGACTGCGTATTACTGCGCTTATCATGGGGTCCCAACTTATTTATTCTATGCCTACGGAAATAAAGAAATTGGTCCCGAAAGAGTTACCGAAATGTTCAAAGAGGACATCAAAATTATGGGAGGAGAATTAGAAGAAATACATTATAATCAACGTTGGGATTTCTTTCCTCATGGTAAATGATAGTTTTTATTTATCACCATTTTTTTTTTCTTTAAAAAAATTTTCCTAATTTCCTTATTTTCGTTTAATAGTATCCTCGTTAGAAATGGCAAGAGGCTTTTACAGTCAGGTTGAGAACATGCAAGGACAAGATGGAACTTTCTATGTTGGTGGCTGGTTAGACTTTGAGCTCACCGAAAATTGTGTGTCATATTCACGTGACTTGGTCAAGCGATTCTTCAACCTTTCCAACAATCCAGAGAAATCGACCCATTTACCGATTCGATCTCAGATTGAAATCAAACCAACCTCCACGCTTAATTGGGGTATGGTATTACGTTTGGCCGCAAAACGTTTCCCAAATAAAGTCGCATTCACCTGGGTAGATGTAAATATTAAGGAAGAAGCAAGAATCACCTACGCCGAATTATATAAACAAGCACGTTCTGTGGCTCACTATTTAAGAAATAAGGCAGGACATAAAGTTGGTGACCCAATCTTACTTTGTTATGCACCGGGTCTCAAATTCCTTCCTATACTATTTGGATGTATGTTGGCAGGTATCATTGCTGTTCCTATCGCCCCACCAAATCTTGCTACTGCTGAAAAAGACATTGCCAGATTCAAATACTTGGCTCAGACCACTGGGGCCAAGTTAGTATTTTCGGACAGGAATTATATGAATTACACAAGGCTTTATGCCGCAGGAAGTTTCATTGGGATTGGGAAAAAGGTTGACTGGCCTGAAGATTTAACTTGGGTTGAAGGAGAAAGCGTAATTTCATCTGCTGATCTTTTCGATGAAATTTTAATTGAGCAAGTAGGATGTGAAAACGTTGCCGTTATACAATTTTCTTCGGGAAGCACCGGGGATCCCAAAGGGATCATGTTGACGCACAAAAATCTTTTACACAATGTGGACCTGATGCAAAATGAAATCAATTTGGATGCGGACAGCACCATTGCTTTTTGGGTTCCACAATTCCATGACCTTGGGTTGATTGGAGGTTTCTTGAACACGATTCGGGGAGGATGTAAATCAGTCGTCATGTCCCCTTTGACATTTTTGCAAAAACCAAGTTCTTGGCTTCAGATGATCACGAATTATCAAGCGACGTTTACTGCTGCACCCAATTTCGCTTACGAATTGGTTGCTCGAAAATGTCCAGATCAGGACATTGAAAAATTAGACTTTTCTTCATTGCGTGGTGCTTTTAATGGTGCTGAACCTGTTCGTTGGTCAACCTTGAAATCTTTTGTCAAAAAATTTGGACCTGCAGGATTTAAACTTTCAACGTTCAAGTGCCTTTATGGCTTAGCTGAGCATTGTGCATACTCCGTTGGGTTCAGGAATCAACATGATGTACCAACGGTAATTAACATCGATGCCGATTTACTTCGTGAAGGTCGGGTTAAAATTCAAAATGAAGCAAATGCTCAAGAAAATAATATCGTTTCAACCGGAATTCCAAATTTATCCATGCAGGTTGAGGTCAGAGTTGTTGATCAAGAAACTAGCCAACTTTGTTCTCCAAACGTTATTGGTGAGGTTTGGGTATCTAGTCCTAGTGTTGGTAAGGGCTATTATGGAAAGGAAGGAATTAGCAAAGAAACCTTCAAAGCAAAATTATGTAATAGCGACCACGGTAATTGGGTAACTGATAATGGAAGTTTTTTACGGACAGGTGATCTTGGATTTTTATATAATGGAGAATTATTTATCACGGGACGTGTAAGTATACCAAATTTTTCTTTACGAGTTCATTCACGTGATACGCAGCAAGATATTAATCCTGATTTTGATTTTTTTTTTTTTTTGATGTCTTTACAGCAAAAGGATGTGATAATAATTAACGGTAAGAATCACTATCCTCAGGATATCGAATTGACAATCCAACAATGTCATAATGACATTCGACCTGGATGTATTTGCGCAATAAATCATTCCGATGCCGAAACTGGTACAGATTCACTTGTTGTCCTCGTTGAAATCAGACAACAAAAGACCATTAAACAAGAGACCTTACAAGAAATTTGTGATTGCATCTCACGAGCCGTTCCAGGAAATCATGGCCTTACATGCCAACGCATTGTCCTTTTAAATCAACATAGTCTACCAAAGACAACGAGTGGAAAGCTTCAACGTTCCAAGACCAAGGATATGTTATTTGATGGACTGATGGATAAAAAAATTCTTATCAGTATTGGAGAAAAATCAAATCAAGTTCAACCCAAAAAATCAAGCGGCAGAAATTTACCATTAATAGATTTACAAACGGTCGAACGAAAAATTTGTGTCCACGTTCACCGAATTTCAAAATTGGCAGCCAGAAAACCAGTTAGTGAAATCGATGTTCAAGCCAACTTAATAACTACTTATGGGTTCGATTCACTCGGAGCTGTGCAATTAACGGCCTGCCTCAAGGAAGAATTTGACATTGAAGTCGCTCCTGCTCTTTTGATGGATTTACCAACAATCTCTGGATTGGCTGGACATGTTTTAAAACAGTTACCTTCTTCAAACATGATTTGTGAAGAACCAATTTCTGAAGAAGAATTTGAAGAGTATGAAATTGAAGAAGTTGTGGAAAATGAAAATGTCTTGACAATCAAACAAATTCAAGAAAAGATCGCAAGTCATGTTCACGCCATTTCGAAAATTGCTGCGAAAATTCCAAAAAATGAACTAAATTTCAAAGCAAATCTCATCACTGACTATGGATTCGATTCATTAGCCGCTGTACAATTAACAGCTTCAATGAAACAAAGTTTCGGTATCGAGGTCGCCCCCGCCTTGTTATATGACGTGCATACAATTGCAGATTTAAGTGACCACGTCATGCAACAACTCAATGAACAACCAAAACAACAAAAAAGACAAACTCGTGTCATAAAAAAGAGACAACAAAATATTCATATTTCGAATAGTTCTAAAAGAAAAGTAATAACAATCGAAGATGATGGAAAGGAAGCTCCAATAGTAGTTCCCTTAGCCCCAAAGAATGTTATCAATAAACACAACGCACCACTTTATTGCATACATCCTTTATTGGGTAATGTAGCAAGTTATGTCTTCCTCGCAAAAAATCTTGGAATCTCCCGACCTGTTTATGGAATTCAAGCTCCAAGTGATGTTGATGCTGACATTAAGACGTTAGCTCGAAGATACGTACGCGCGATTCAATTACATCAGCAGACCCAACCATATTATTTATGTGGATATTCTTATGGTGGATTAGTTGCTTGGGAAATGGCAAGGATTTTACAAGGACTTGGAGCTAAAGTTGGTGGACTTTACCTTATTGATGCGCCTGCCCCACTTCAAAAACGCGTTCGCAGATCATCGTTGGATGGTGAGGAACCACATCTCTTATGGAAAGATGATATTGAACAATTATTAAATGATGTGGACTCACAATGGATGATTCGATCTGAAAATGAAGATCCTGCAAAAATCGAAGCGTTCAAGAAACAAGTTGGAACCTTAATTGCTTCTATGTATTCTTATACATCAGATCTTACAACTATCGAAGCAGTTCAACAATTCCCAATACATTATTGGAGAGCAAAAGATTACGCAGGAAAAACGAGCAAATTATTACTTGATCATCCATTATTCCATGAACCAAACTTTGGTTGGGAACATTACCAAGGTGAAATCACATTTCACCGTTGTATACCAGGGCATCATTATAATGTATTACGCGAAGAAACAGCTGGACGATTGGCAAGAGAATTTGATACAAATATGCCAATGCAAACTAGAAGGGGAAGTACCGATCTTAAACCATTAATGTTAGAAAAACTCGCTACATCATCACGAGGAATCTCACCTACTACTTCAAATTCGATGTTCCGAGGTTCAAAATCAAAGAGTATGACTGAATTGGTCATGAATACACAAGTGCCACTACCACTAGTATTAGTAATAATGTTATTCTGTTTATATATTTACAACATTTTAATATAATATATAATATTTGATTTTGAATTAAAATAGAAAAAAGAGAAGAATACGAATACGAATTTTTTTTTAAAAAAAAAAAACCTTTTATCATTTTCACTTGTTCTTTTTGTCCATTTAATTTAAATTTTTTTTTTGATTTATCTTTTTGTGATTGTGAAATAGTTTGTACATAATAATAAAAACAAGCATTGTAATATTTTTGAAAAAAAAAAGTGTTCGAATGATTGAAAAGCTTTGAAAGTGATATTTGCAAAATTTTATGATACATGATTTTATGATAAATAACATCACACAATACGCGACCATTGGGACTAGAATTGGTGTTGCTTAATAAATTTAAAAAATTGAAATATCGTCTTTGCTTCGGAATCAAAATTTAATTTAACCGAATTTTTAATTTTACCAAGTAATTTATATTTTAAATTAATGATTTTATACACGAGACTTTTTATTAGCTCTAATAAAGTCAAAGCATACGGAATTCACAAATGTACTAATATATATAAGTTGTGCGTCAGGTGTCGATTTGCCTCAGACGTCAACTGGCCTAAATTACCGGCCCATTTTTATGATGTCTGGGCAGCATTACTGATATCCCGTCGGCATCTGACAACATATATATATTTACAAACAAATAAAAAACCAAAATATTTTTTCTTTAAAAAACACTGTTAGCTCATTCTTCAATGCTTTCTCATATTTTTCTTTCGAAAAACAAAGCTCCTCATTTATTAACTACAATATATAAAATTAAGGTCACAACTGACGATTTGCTTATTTGAATATAAAAGAAAGGTCGATAATACCGAAAAGTTTTTTTTTTGTTCTGAAAGGTTCGAAAATCATTATCTGATATGTCCCCATTGAAGAAATCATTTTAAGAAATAAAAGAACTTATTTAGAATTGGTTTGTACTTTGTATGAACAATCAAATTACATCAGGATTTACCCATCATTTTAAAGATGTGTACTTTAAACCAAATATGGTTGGTCAAAAAACAATAATGCAGGTACCAAGAATCCGTTTTTAAAAAAAAAAAAAAAAAAAAAAAAACTCTAAATCTATATTCATCAATTTAGAACTTGGGCTATCAAATAGGGTTTGAATTTTTCGGGAAAAGACGCTTTATTAATTACTTTTACGATTTAAGAAATGATAAAGAGAATAAAATAAATACATTAAATAAATGTGGCTGTGCATGTCAACATTGTTAAAAAAAATAAAAATCCACCAACTCAATTTTCGTTACAGTACTCAATTCTCTCAATAAAAAAAAAAAAGATGTTAAACAAGAACGTTGTTACGATAGGGATCAGGTAAAGAATTGATTATGCCTTTGAAAATATCATTTTTTATTATTAAATCCATTATTATTATTATTATTATCTCTTATAAAAAAAAATTCAATTGTAGTGGTGCATCATGTTCCGGTAAATCTGTATGTAACTGTGTAACAATTTTTTTTTTTAAAAAAAAAAATAATGAAGAAATGTTTGATAAGATTTTTATGTTACTAATTAATAGACATTGGCGAGTTGGTTAAGAAAAATTTTTCCAAACACAAAGATATTTTATCAAGATGATTTTTTCAAGGTAAACAAACATTCCATTGGAGAGTTTCTATCCACCACGAATTTTTTTTTTTTTAAAAAAAAAAAAAAAAATTCGCAACATGTTTTCTTCATTTTTTTTTTTTAAGCACGAAGACGAAATCCCAATTGATCCGGTGACCAAACTTTCAAATTGGGATTGTCAAGGAGCAATAGATTTTGAATCATTCGTAAGAACGCTTTGTCATTTACGTACCACTGGTACACTTCCACCAACGTTCTTTTCTAAAGAAAATAAAAATGAACGTATCGAGGTTGAATCTGTCGAATTGAATAACTTGGTTACCGAATTATCCGATCGAGTGATGAATCTATTAAAGGAATTTGGTGAAAAGAAGGATGAATGGAGTTTTTTATTCGTTGATGGATTTTTGTTATACGTCGATCAAGACGTTATCAATGAATTGGATATCAAATTATTCGTTAAAACGAAACGTGAAATATTAAAACGTCGAAGAGAAGCTAGATCAGGTTACGTTACCATGGAAGGTGTGCGTAAAATTCCTTTCTTACCTGTTTGAATTTATTACGAAGTTTTTTTTTTTTTATTTATTTTATTTTTCTTTTCAAGGTTATTGGGAAGACCCACCAAATTATTTTGAAGATATAGTTTGGCCAAATTATATCCAAGCCAATAAGCATATATTAATGCAATCGGGAGATTTAGAAAATGATGAAAATGTGGTGTCTAAAATAATTGATGATGATTTAATTGTATTAGAATCTGATGACGTTTCAATGTTGATTAAAAACATTGAAACTTCAGTAAATAAAGTTTTAGATCATATTGTTTCAAGATTGAATTAAAAATAAATCAATAGACACTAGCGATGCTGCGCCATACTTTGTAAAATTATCCGTTATCAAGGAAAATCATATGTCGATCTATCTATGTACGCTACGGAAAACTGTCCTTTTGTGTATCATAAAAGGCCCATTAAGAAGCAATTTTGGAAACCTTTTAATGGAAACAACGGTCCTCTACATATATTTTACAAGATCTTTGATACCTAATTAAGAAAAAATGGAATTTATTAGATTGATTTCGAAACAATAATAAAAAAAGTATTGTAATGGATTCGAAATTCGTATATAAAAATGCTAAATAATTTTTGATTGAAAAAAAAAGATTTTATTTTTCCCAACCCAATTTCAAATAAATAAAATAAAAATAAAATAAAAAACAAAATAATAACATTTGATCAAAATGGCTCGAAGAAATTCGCCATTAGCGGAAACTCCATCCGCGCGAGATTACATCGATATCATGGTGGAAATTAAAAAGCTCGGATTATTTAGTAACTTTGAAGAACACACACCAACAATTGTGGTGTTCGGTGATCAATCAAGCGGTAAAAGTTCTGTTTTGCATAGGTTAACTGGTGGTTTACCAATTCCAAGGTAGATTATAAAACACATATCGCCTATTTCATTTCATTTCATTTTTTTTTTTGTCTTAAAAAAAAAAAATCTTTATCATCACAGAGGATCTACAAAATGCACAGCGACACCTTTTGAAATACGTATGCTACAATCCGATGAAGCAGTTAGTAAAGTCTCTTTGCGTTACATCGAAGATAAACATCGTAAAAGTATGCAATCAAAAGAAGTTGATTTTGCCAACATATTGGGCATGAGCGATTCGGAAGTCGAAGCGAAATTACGTGAAGCTCAACGATTTGTACAAAATCCAAGTATTGACGTTAAAAGTGGACGATTGCCAAGCTCGGATAATGATGAGTTGGCTTTTACAAAAAATGCTGTATGCGTTACAATCAGTGGTCCGGAACAAGCTTATAGTTTATCCATGGTTGATTTACCAGGTAAATAGAAACATATATAAATATTTATAAATATATATTATATATATGATAGATACATATATAATTTATTTTAATTCTCTTTCTTTTACAGGAATCGTTCGAAACCACGAAGAACATGAAAAGTTCGTACTATCCTTGGTAGATGAATACATCAAGAAAGAATCAGCAATTTTACTTCCAATCTTTCAGGCAACCTCGGACATAGCCACACAATGTGCGTGGCGTCTTGCACGCGTTGCAGATCCATCTGGCAAGCGTACAGTAGGTGTCTTGACAAAAATTGATCGTATCATTGATTATTCAAATGATGATGATAAACACAATGAGCTCGCCACTTTAGTAAAAGGCAAAGGGGAACATCAAATTTCAAATGGTGTTTATATTATAAGGAATCCATCTATTGGGGATAGTCATGACCCGGATGAACTGGAAGGCATTACCGTTAGGACTCTTAGACAACATAGGATTTGGAGGGATGTACCGTCTAATAGATTTGGCTTGCAAAATTTGATCATGAAATTAAGCGAATTACAAGGTCAAGCTCATGAACGATCATGGCCAAACATCCGTCCCCTTTTAGAAGAATGTAGAGATGATTTTGAAGAAAAATTAAGGAATCTTCCACATAAACGTGGTGGAAATCCAAATATCCGTTTCCTGGAATTAATTGGGTCATTCGACAAATTATTCACCTCACACGCAAATGCTGAAAATGTGGATCATAGGTTGTATCGTGGACAACAATGGAACTTTGGTCAATTCGATCAAGCATTATTAAATACTCGTCCAGTATATCAACTCACGTTTGAAAATGAGTCAAATAACACCGAAACTTTTGATCCCATAAGACCTGGTGCGTTGCAATATCGTGGATGGACGAACAATTTAAAAGATGAAATTACAGCTGACGATTGGGGTGATCTGAACAAGAAGGACGAAAAAGATTATTTATGGAGTTTAGAACAACTTTGTGAAGTTGTACAAGGAAGCCAAGGTGGTCAATTGGTTGGTTTCTTTCCATTTAAAGCGGTGGTTGCCATTGTTGGAAAGCATCAAAAGGATTGGTTTGGGATTTCTACCAAATTGTTGGAAAAAAATCATGATTGGATTGCCCAATTCGTTGATGAATTGGTAGATATCACTTTTAAAGAGTTCCCAAACGTTATTGAAGAAATCAAGTAAGTTGAGACACGTTTTTTCGCGTTTGCACGTGATTAGGGCAATCTATTGACTTTTCAATTTTTTTTTTTAAAAAAAAAAATTAAAAAAAAATTGATTAGGAGCGTTTTACGTAAGTTATTAAAGAGTTGTAAAGATGAAACGTTAAGACGTCTTAAAGACCTTGAAGACATGGAACATATGTCTGCCAGTAGGGCTCTTTATGTAACAGATGAAGCCAGCATCCTAAAAAAGCAAGCAAAATATTTTATCAAACTTCGAATATTATCAGCAGTTTCCAAACAAACGGGTCAAGATTTAAAAACGATTCTTGAATTAGGATCAAAATTATTCGACATGATGTATAGCGAAGACACTATCGAAGAGGATTTTGAGAGAATAAAAGGAGACTTGATTAATATCGTTTCGGAATGTCAAGAGGGCTTTGATGATTCATCCCAAAAATTAATTGAAGAAATCAAAAGTTCTAGAATTTCAACAGAGATGCCATCAACGGCCACTCTATCCATGATGTTGATTATTAAAAATCAATACCTAGATAAATTAATTGGGGTGGTTCCCAAATCTGAAGATAATTCAAATCAAACCATATTAAAAAATACCGTCAACGAACACGCTTTCCTTGCTGCTACGGTATATATTTTAAATATCAAGTATTGTGTTTAAGGTTAATATTTTTTCGCGAATTAATTTAAAAATTTTTTTTTTTGCATTTTAGGGAGCCTTGGCATATTGGAAGATGTCCCATACTAAATTTCGGGAGGTCGTACCACGTGTAGTAGAATATTACCTTGTACATCAATTTGCTACCGGTTTAGGAATGCATTTACGTCAACATTTCAGACTATTGGGATCGGATTCGGATTCTTCAGAATCACCAGAAAATCCCGAACAAATAGACTTGAAGAATTTATTAGGTGAAGATCCATTGAACGCAAAGAATCGTGAAGAATGGGAAAATAATAGTGCTGCTCTTAGTAGTATCATTGATAGGGTTCGAAAAGCTTCTGTAAGACAACATCATGGTAATACTACTAATGGTCATCGTAGAGGTCGTAGATAAATCATACAAAGACGAATGTAAAATAAGGAATTCAGTATTTATTGTATAAATTTCACAGAATGATAAAAATAAAAAATTATATATATATATATATATCAAAATGAAGATAACAATAAAAATAAATGTATTGAAAACTTTTTGTTTATAAAAGATTATTCTTAAAGACGAATGTTACGATGTCCTATTGAACTTGTTCCATAACTTTTACATCGATTTTCACACCACTTGCATCCCCAGTTTCATCATCCAAAACCATCCTTTGATTTGTTTGATTTGTTTGATTATTTTGAATACCTTGATTTTCTTGATTTGCTTTCCTGGAATAAATACCCCTTTTAAGCCTAGCATCTTTTCTATCATTTCTTACAGCCAAAGGTTTTTGTTCCCATTTAAATTCTTTATTCAAAAATAATCGACCTCTCTTTAATTCTAATTTGTCATGTTGAACAAATTTTGGCCATTCCATCCCATTTTTTTCCTTTGGTAAGTCCACCATTGCCATTCTTTCCCAATAAATTTTCAATATACTATTTTGTTTTGATTCCATATCACGCGCTTCAAGCTGTCGTAAAGATTGACATAACGCTAATACACTCGGTTCAACTAAATTCATGTCTTCATGAATGCGTAAACGTTTTTCCGTTTTATAATATTCTGAAGATTTCGGTCGATTTTGAAGTTTACGCAAAATTATATTACTGGTGGTCATTACTGAACCATATGAAGAAAATCCCGATATTGCAACAAATGGAGTCCAATGATCTTTACGAAGTTTATGAGGACGTAATGTGACATCTTTTATTTGTCGTAAATATTTACTCTTGAAAAAATATTATATTTAGGATTTTTATTTTTATTTTTTTTACAAAAGTCTCAAGTAAATACCTGTATAACTCTTCCAACGGTAACTAAAACTTGAGAAGTTTGTACATGTCTATACATAAATAGTTGATCTAATCTCCTTTTACAATTTATTTCGAACTTCATTCTTTTAAAATTTTTTTTCTGAATTCAATCTTGTGTAAGTGCTATATTTATAAAAAAATTAAGCACGATCAAAATGATAAGCGATTGTGTTACTTAATCAATTTTGTTCCCGGTAGATCTATTTTTAGTATCACGTTTGTATGCCTTTTTATAAAATCTAATAAATAGTATCAAAAAACTTCCATTACAAAACATTGAAAATATAAATGCATTAAATCCTAATTGACATTTATTCGTAAAATGGAAAAAAAGATATGGTATTGATAAGATGAATGATGTTGAAAATTGTATGATTTGTCCCGTGGTAATATATTTCTATATAAGTAAAATATTTTTTAAGCCTAATTCGAAAAAACCACCCCCCAATAAAAAGTGTAAATTACCTTGAACCATACTGATCTTCCTAAAGATGTTGAAAAGTAGTAATAATACATGAAAACGTGGATAAGGGTATTTGCAATCATTCCGATGCTTATTTGTAAAGAGAATCGAACATTTAGCCTTACTGAATCTAATTCAAATATTCAACTTGAACAATAATTAACATTATTTATTTATTTACCTAGCATACATATTAGCATCTTCAAGCCATGACCAAACCATAAGAATGACGATAGCATGATGATACCAATGAAGAAAAATAATAGGTTTCTGAAATACAATTTATAATTAATGTAAATTTTACTAAATTTTGCTTATAAAGAATAAATAAATATCTTACCTTCTTTAAAACTAAGATCACAGTATCCAACAATTCATCAAATTTTGATAGATAATAAACATAAGTAACATAAAATAACCTTCCTTTAGTTGAAGAAGAATCAGAAGTACAAAAACATTCTCCAATTCCACGTTCCTAATTTACAAAAAAAAGTCCAACAATTAGTTTTAACCTAATAAAGATCAATTAACAAATAATTAAATTACCTGCCTGGTAACGATAAAAAAAATCAATTACAGCATATCCAAACATAATAGCTGATAAAAGACATAACATTAGATTATGCGCTGCTGTTACATATCGCATTGAAAATGGTGTTGTTGATGACATAATGGCCTTTAACGTAATAAATTTGGATTTAACAATTATTTGCTGTATAAAGAAAAGGTATCATAAAAATTATTTACCTTCAGACCGATTATAGTCACAAAATAAGTTGCCCAAACACCCACAACAAACTATAATAAAAACCAATTCTTTACTTAAAATTTTATCAAAGGAAAAATTCTGCTTAATAGAATTCTAACCTGCCAATTAGAAAAGGGCGTAATTCCAACTTTCCATTGAAATTCATTAGGTTTCGCAAATTGTGAATAATCCCAATTTGATGTATTATACGGAATTGAAACAATTTCTTCAATTCTAGAAATTAAATTCGCGTCAGTCATAATTCAAAACGAAAGACCGGTAATAAAAAAAACGAGGTCATTTATAGTTAATTTTGTGTTACCTTAATTGATATTATAAAAAATTAGGACTTTATGAATTAAATTAATTAATTTTAATCTTTTATAGACTACTCAATTAAGCTAGAAATTACATTACAAATAAATTACAACTAAAATTACAATATAAAATCAAAATTTTCTATTTATTGAGTGAATTATATTATATTAAACTTGTTCCATTGGTTCAATGTCGTTTTTCTCTAACAGAGAAATTTTACTTGGTGGTGAATGTTGACGTAATTTTACACCGGCTTCTTTAAGAAGTTTTGCGGTTTTCTCGTCCATACCGTAAGACCTTTTTTTGTTGAAAGAATAATCAGGAATAAATTCAAGACAAGAGAATTTGTAAAGATATTTGTGATTTCTCACCGATTGTAAACCACTTCAACGACTCCAACTTGAATTAGTTTCACCGAACATCCTAAATAAATGAACATCATAAAATTATTCTAAAAATGATTTTATTATTTGTCATTATTTCATACCTAAACACGGACACCTAAAAAAAGAAATGATTAAATTAATCATTTGAATATAAATCAAACTCTTGATTCATAATATTTAAAACTTACGTGTTACAATACAAGATGCACCCTTCACCAACTCTTTCTTTTCCTGCTTCTAATAACGCGTTTTCTTCAGCATGAAGACAAAGACATGTCTCCAATTCTTTTCCACATGACACTCCATCATTACAACGTTCACAACCACCTTCGTTGCAATTTTTCAATCCTTTTGCCGTTCCATTATAGCCAGTAGCTATAACCCTATGATTCTTTACTAATATACAACCAACTTTACGTTTCATACAATTGGATCTGGAAGCTGCTAAATCTGATAAATGCATAAAATAAGTGTCCCAAGTTGGTCTTAGTCGATCTGAATCTGTAATGTTTATGCTAAGAAGGTAAGAATAAAGCGGAGGTAATGATAAGTATGAATTAGATATAAATATATCTGCAAGTGACATTATTTCAAAAATTGATGTGGTGGTATTATAATCATCTTCTTCGTCTGACGTCATTGATGTCTCCCGTTGTTGTTCCTGCTGCGTAATTGGTAATGCGAATTCGTTATTTGGAGCGACACTATTGAACAATTGTTGATCACTTGCAATGACGAATTCATCCAATGTTGGTTCAGGTAATCTAAATTCTTGACATCTTTTAAATCAAATTAAATCAGAATTCATCTGAGATTTTAAAAATCATTAAAATCATTTTGAATTATAAATTTAAATTACCGAAATAAAAATCTTTGATATCGAATAGTTATGGGACCGTCAACTGTCAACAACAAGAAGAATGGGCGTTTTCTAATTATAAATGAATTAAATGTCAAAGCAAAGAATTATTGAAAAAATAAAAGTTAAATATATTATAAACCTATATAATTCAAGAATTTTATGATTGTCAATATCACACGTCACAAAGTTGTCTATCCAATTCTTTGTAACATAAAATAACAAGTCTTTTGGAGTATTAAAGTGTATTGCGGTAAGACCATAATGTTCAGTGTTTTTAAGTGAAAGTAATGTAAAACCATGAGTTGTAATGAGCCACTTTGCAATAGAATGTTTTCCGGAACAAATGGGTCCAGTAATTCCAATAAACATTTTTTATTCTCGAATGGTTTCATTCCAAGAGATCTATTGGCATTATTGATTTATGTAGGCACTAGATGATCGTCCGTTATCTATTTTACCCTTTTTTGTTAATTTATCTTTCCTGCTTGCTGGAAATAATGGAGCAAATGCTAAAAGGCATTGTATTTGTAATGTATATAATTTTCAAACAATGTCAAAGTTTATATTTAAACTTTATTTAAAGTATTGATTATACAAATAATTAAAAAATAAAGTTAAATAATAATCTTATTTAATTAGTATTAATTTTATTAATATTATTTTATTAAAATAAACATACATTTTTTTTTTTTTTTTTAACAATTTATATCTTTAAAATATTTAAAATAACATTTTAGTAAAAAACAAAAATTAAAAAAAAAATTTAAGTTTAATATTTTAAATCAGGATCCGGACAATTATAATAGAGGTCACATCCGAAGTATTAATTAAAATTTCAAAAGAATATATATAAATAAATTTAACCATTTAATTATTCTATAATCTTAATAAAATATTAAAAATATCCTTTTTTATCATATAACCTTAAAACTTTATAAAACTTTATTTATTCATTAATATTAATTGTAACCTGTCAATAACTGAATTAAAAAAATTATAAATTTCTATTTATTTTTTTACAACTATTATAAATCCCATATTTTCATTATATGATTTACAATTTTCTAAATAATAAATGATTAAATGATTAAAAGAATATGAATATAAAATATATCTAGATTCAACTACTAAAACAAATTCAAAAAATTGGAGCCTGTTTTTTATAAATACATATAAAAATATTAGAAAGTAAATCAATATAAGTAATAGTATTAATATAAGAATAATAATTAAATGATTAATGATACATTACTAGAATAAAACAAATTTTGATTCAAAGAATATGAATGTGTAACTATCTATTTAGCAGGATTTTTAAATTAATATTTACAATAAAATTTTTAATAAAGCTTAATTAATTAATTATTAGTTAATATATTAAAACTCATGAATTTACAAATAATAATAAATTTATAATTTATCAAACATTTTGATATCTTCTAATATTTTAATTGTAGCATATATTGAATAGCTAAATAATCTCTCTTATTTTAAAGTCAAATGTAATGAAATAGCTTGAAAACCTTACTTGCAAAAATTACAAATAAGTTAAATTATACTTGTATTTTTATTAATATTGTAACCCAAATGATCTTTAGAAAACTAGAAGTGTGACGCAGTAAAGTGATCTGCAAATGATCATCATGTGAA